TGTAAAGGAAAGCAGTTCACATTTATGGGAATGGATGCACGGCCTTAAGGGCTCGAGCTTGACCATGCATCTAGGTGAATTCTCTTTTTTTTTTTAACAAACCATGGCTCCTAGATCAATACAGCCAAAAAAAAAAATGGCTAACAGGTAATTTCCCGGGAAGTGAAGGTGGCGAGTGCGATGCTAACAACATCTCCTGCAGAGGCTACTCTATGGGATAAAAAAACATGAGTCTGCCCTCACGCACCCAACGCAACATTTGCATAAAAGTATCCTTTACTTTTTACTTTTATGTTGAGAAAGTAAAAAGTCACTTTGCCTCTAAATAGACAGCTCCTTAAATACCTAGTTCACTGGTTCTTAACCTCACTTTGCCTCTAAATAGACAGCTCCTTAAATACCTAGTTCACTGGTTCTTAACCTCACTTTGCCTCTAAATAGACAGCTCCTTAAATACCTAGTTCACTGGTTCTTAACCTCACTTTGCCTCTAAATAGACAGCTCCTTAAATACCTAGTTCACTGGTTCTTAACCTCACTTTGCCTCTAAATAGACAGCTCCTTAAATACCTAGTTCACTGGTTCTTAACCTCACTTTGCCTCTAAATAGACAGCTCCTTAAATACCTAGTTCAGTGGTTCTTAACCTTCTTAATGCAGCGACCCCTTTAATACAGTTCCTCATGTTGTGGTGACCCGCAACCACAAAACTATTTTCATTGCTACTTGATAACTTCAGTGAATGTATGTTTTCCGATGATCTTACGTGACCCCTGTGAAATGGCTGTTTGACTCACAAAAGAGGTTGCGACTAACAGATTAAGAACCGCTGCCCTAGTGCACCTAATGACTACACAAGGAGAAACTAACTATAGCATGCAGACTGTTTAGCACAGATGAGGATTTGCATGTGCATATATTCAAATTGTATGATATAACAATTCTCTTTTATGGATAGGCTTTCTAGTTTAATTTTCAAATTTAGTGAGTGAGATGAAATGCCCGAGAAAAGCATCAAACCTAGCCATCTGAGATTGAGTGAATAATGATTCTATCAACAGATTGTGGAAACAAAATTTTTTACTAGATTCACTGAGAAACAGCAGATCAAGTGGTTTGGCCAACTTGTCAGAATGCAGCAACATCAAATCAGACACCAGATCTCAGAATATCAGCTAAAAGAGCAAGACGATGGCCACACAAACATGGATCGACAACATTAAAGACACTTTACATCTTCACGGCATGACACTAGCCAGTATCAGCCAGGGGGCACTGGATCACAAATCCTTCCTTCCCATGATACTTAACAGCAGAAGTAGTTTACAGTGATGATGATGATTTACTCTGAAAGGCAGCCTGCTTGCTCTGTTATCTCTGATTTCCAATGATATAGAAATAAAAGCACAAATATATGACTACACATCTTAAGATAATGCTGGTATATACAGGGATGGTTTGCCACAAATTATGTGCTTTGGCACTCACAACTACAGAAGGAAAAACTTATTTAGGAAGCCAGCAAAGCCTTTACTATAATAATATCATCTGAACCATGGAGATCACAGCTGTAACAATGTTGAATGAATGTTGAATACCATCACAGCACTCGGGACACTCCCATAAGCACTCTGTCCCCATTTTCAGCAGTAAGCGAGGAGTTCCAATTTTGATGACACCATTAACTGTCTGATTGTATACTCATCTCACCACTCCGTCGAGTGTTAAGCACTGGCTAGATCCCCTAGTAACTACCTGCAACGCTACTCTCCACAGCTTGTGATGGTCTATTTGTGCATCCAGTGTGCACTCGCTCCAAAAGTGCCCTCACAACATACAGCTTGTCATACATCAATTCACCACCATATGGTGCAGAACCAGCCAGTCTATCTGCCTGCTCTTTTCTCAACACACTAGCATGACTTGGAGAAAATTTCCAAAGGATGCTAACTACCCCAGACTTCTGAGGCAATGCTTGCCACTCTGCATGAAGCATGCCTGTCACTTTTCTCAACATGCTCTGTGAGTCAGTTACAATTACGGCATGTGTGTAAAGCTCTTTCTCAAGCCAGGGGAAGGCAGCAAAGACTTTCTCCACCTCAATTCTCAAACTAGACGTTGTGATATCACATGCAAGGCTCTGATGCACTAAGCGACATCTATTCACCTTGTTGTTAACCCCCATGCACTTCGTCTGCCCCTAAACACACAGCCATCTGTTTAGATAATCACATCACTTGGATGGGAACTGTCATAAATCATTTGTAAAAATGTAAATATTTTCTATGGCTCCAGCCATGACCCTAAAATGGCTACAGACAGAAAATGACTGACTATTAAAAAAAAATATCAAAGCTGAAAAAAAAAAAATATCAAAGCTAGATTCACAAAGAGAATATTATAAATAATCACAAAGAACAATGCTTTGTACCATCACTTTTATCTTTATCCCAGGATATGTCACTGAGAAAGGTAGCCAGAGGGTGTACGTCTTTGCAGACAATGTCATCCCATTAGGAAGTGGACATTCTATGGACAGAATAGGTATAATTAATGCTAGATGAGAGATAATGTATGCTGAAGACCTCAAACAAGAGGGTAATCATTTCTTTCTGACTATGGATGCCCAGTCTAGGTATAACAGCTGGATCAGCACGATGTAACAAACAATGCAAGAGCAAGGGAACAGAAGCTGTCAGTACAAACACACAATAAGAAACATAGAGAAGAAGATCAGAGCACTCATGGGCTTGTCCAACATACAGTGCAGATGAGCTTGAATTTAACAATAAGCAGCTAATTTTTTTCACATAATTTGATTATTTTAACTCTAAATCTTTGAGACTCAAATATTTATTCCTGTAAAGTAACAACCTTCATAGGCTCTCAGAGCACAATACGTCAAAGTGAGCTGTGGATCTTTTCTCCAGGCCATGCCGGCGTAGTGGGTAATTCTTCTTCTTCTTCTTTGATCCTTCTGTCAGAAAACTTATATCAGGAGGCCGGTAGCCTTTATGAAAGCTATCGTGCAATCCATATCCTGTCGTGTACCATACAGTTTTGTCTTCAGTGTGGTTGGAACAGGCCAGATTGCGTCTCTGTTGTCAGCATACAGTTGACAGTGTTGGAGCACATGCTCAGCATTTTCGGGTGCCACGCTGCAGGGACACGTCTCCGTATTTCCTACACCAAAAAATTTGAACATATGTTGACGAAATCTGTTGTGCCCAGTCCTTAGTCTGAATATAATGCACTGTCCCTCTCTAGAGAGGCGATGAAGTGAGTCTTGGGGAGAAAATCGGGTGTGGGTATCCAGCCACCTTTCTTGGATACTAGATTGTATTAATGTTTTCATCTCTTGGTGGGTTAAGTCGCTATTTGGTTGTACCATGTCACTGCTGATGAACAGGCAGACAGATTAGCTAGATCTGCACCACTGGGTGGTGAACTGATACATGACAAGGCAGATGTGGTAATGGCCCTTTGGGAACAAGTAATTGAATCAGGAGAGAAAAAAAAAGATTAATATGGCCTGGAGAGAATGAGGCACCTGGGTGTAACCAGAGGGTCTGGCCAGCTCACTACACTCAGAGTGCTGTGATGTCAATTCTTGACTCAACTTGATGTCAAAGTTACATCTTCTTGGAAAACTGGATAAAGAAAAACATCAGATGCAGTAAAGAAAACCAAGTATTCAGAAGCTAGCAACCTCCTCTCCCCCCTCCCCCTTCCTATTTTTTTTATACAGCATAAGTCAATTCTGATCAGCAGAAAAAACATCTCATACAAAGCATAATCATTCCCATTCTCTGCTACCAGTGCCAGACATGGTCACTCATAACAAACCAGAAAAGACTGATGGCAAATTTGTAAGGTGATGATGACTTAAAAAAATAAAAATAAAAATTATTTTAGGAGACAGAAAAGCTTGAACTCTTTCAAAATAAAAATGAGCTGTAACATTACAAGATACAGAAGAAATTAACAAAATCTGACAAATAATGCAACAAAAATTTGAAAGAAATACAATTTAAAGGCATGATAGGAGAATATCAGAAGTGTATGATATTATAACATTACATGTTAAAGTAACACAAATGTAGGATAAAGATAAGAGATAGTTAACACTAACAAAAACAGACAAACATTACAAGAGGCAGGATAGAGCAATGTAAAAGTACCAGGGGTTAACTAATTAATTAGTTGACAGATTGTCCTCACTGTATGTTGAACCATTCACTCCGTAAGTGCTCAGATCCGATCTTCACAAAATCCCGCAGTATGCAGCGGCTGACTTTTCCAGTTCTGTGTTGGTATTTTATTCTTTAGCTTCCTGCACAGCACTTCTGTCTGGTCACATTCAACTTGCTGTTCTTGCAGTCTCATCATGGTGTCATATTTACAGCCATCACCTAGTTACTGCAAGTCTGACTTTTTATAGAGCATTCAGTATCTCAGCCTGGTCAATGGCTTGTCTGCCTCCCACAGAAGCTTTACTTGCAAGCCTATCTATCTATCAGCTGGCTCAGTTCCTTGCAAATGGCAGTGGAAAATAACACAAATATACAAACAATGTTGCAGAAGAAGAATATGTGTGTTGGTTGAATATACATGTTGCTTTCTTGTTGTGATATAATAATTTTTAGATGTAACAAATAAAAAAAAACAGCAATTTCCTAGGTTATTTTTCATAAAATTGTACGTTACAGAACAGTTACAAGAACATACTGGCACTACTCCAGAGCCACCCAAGTGTTGATTCCTTGTTACCAGGAAATCACGTCTGAACACTGAGATTATTCTGACAAATCAGATGAAAACTGTAGTTGCATGAAAATTAAAATTTCATTCTACCCTTTCTGGAGTTGCAATTCAAATGTGTGCCCTTGGCATTTTGTAGTGACAAGTAGCAGTTCTAAAAATGCACTAAGGTGACTATGGAGTATTGCCGATATGGAACACAGCAGCTGATAGTTATTAGATATCTGCATAAGGATGTCATTCACGAGTCTCTTTCCTTCTTGATGTTTATAGCATTATTATTCTCACAACTGATGTTAACATCTGCTGTGCTGCTGCTGCTTCCACTGGATCCACCATAGTCCTCCGCTAGAATTGTCATAATCTCTCCTTGCATGAATGCCCAGGGAACATTGGAGCCTGACAGTGGGCATTTGTTGCCGCTAGGACAGTAGACCTCGGAACCTGTTCCCTGCCGCTTGATGCTTTCTTTGGAACACGGAAAGCAAAACTTATGGTCAGATACCGAGGGACACTGGACAAAGTGAGTGTCTTCCAGACGTTCCTGGCATAGAGTGCACTTAAGCATTTCACCTGGGAGACTACTGGTGGATTCTGGCATAGTGCTTCCAACGCCAGTATCGGACACCGGACCAAGGTAGCTGACTCTCCTGGTTCCGCTATGGGAATAATGAGGAACTCGCATTAAGTTTGAAGCATAATGGAGATCTGGCTGTCCAACCGGAGTCACATGAGGATGTGTTACTGTTATCAGACTTGCTATATGTGAAGGGGCTGGGTTCGAAGATGAATGGTTGCCACCTGGAGGACTAGGAGTGTGGTTGTGATTATTCAAGGGGGATATGGAAGTAGAACTCGGTTGACCAGACCCATATGCAGTAATTGCAGATGTGATAGTCAGTTTCAGTGCATCTGCCTGACTCTGTAGCCACTGTTGTCTTTTATGGTGATCATCAGTCAACTTCCCTGGCTGACCCCGATGGTCATCTTCTGTATCAGGTGAACTTTTCCTCTTACGGCCGCTCGAGGTATTACTGCTGCTAGCACTCTCAAGAAATGAACGTTGTGAATCTGACTTGGGAGCTGGAACCACACGACCTAAATGGCTTGGCAGAGGTGGTAAGCAGCTGTCCACAAATGGTGTGGGAAGAAGTTCCAACTTAAGTGTGTCTTTGAAATGTCGCACATTGTCCGTAAACAAATCTGTTAAGTTATTCCAATGCCCACTGTTATGTTTGACCTCATAGTCCAAGAACATCAAGCCTGAAGACTGACCTTTCCCTAAGTCCTTGACAGTGTCATGACACATCAGCTTCACCAAACTGGAAATGGAGTTGTGCACGGTTCCGGATCCCACTGGGTACTCTACAAAGTATTTCAGTTCTAGTTCATGGGGCAATCTGAAGCTGACGTCAAAAGCAAACATTCTGCCCACCATCGTAGGATCCTTCTTCAGCCGGATCTGGAAGGGCACACAAGCGGCCAGTGTGTTCAGAGTGTCTCTAACCAGTGAATTCTTGTGTATGGCTTCCTCCAAAGATGAATATTTAACTAATTCCTCCATGCTGGACTGAGCATAGATGTTGTCATCATCATCTTTTCTTCCTTGTAGCAATGCTGTATGCAGGGGTGCACTGTGTCGGCTGGGGTGACCCAGTGGGTGTATGAGGGTCAGACCCACTCTAGTGGGACTGCTTCTGTGGTGCATGTCAGCAAAATGTTCTTCTGCTAGTCGAATGGATGGATGAAAACTGCTGACTGGGAAACTATTGTGCTGTCTCCCGACAGGACTAAAATCAGCCACTGACCTTCTGGAGTCTGTAAATCTCTCTGAAGGAGCTTGTGATGAAGATGACATTGAAGGATGAGTTGGTCCAGGAAGATGGTGATTGGGTGGTGGACCCTGCTGGCGAGTTACATCCAGAGGCATTGATAGATTAATATGTAGATCAGATCCAACAGATGACGGTGGGGGGCAATGAGAAAGACCCCTTGTCTGTGGCGAAGGGGGAATACCGTGTGGTGATGGCTTCCCAACCCCACTGACCACCTGCCCACGAGAAGACTCCTGAAATCCATGAATCCTCTTCATGTGTCTTGCTGCTTCAATAATCATTTCAATCCTGTCAGGCCCTTCATAGTTGACGCAGCCCCGACACACTGACTCTGAGAAATCATATAACATAGCCCATGGTGTACGTGGCAAGTCGCAGAGGTAGCAATGCTGCCTTTGGGCACGATGAGGTATCGACATGTCTCAAATCTTTTCTCTTTTAGTCTCTGTAATGCATAAACATTTGTTAAATCCCAAACATTGTCTGCTAATAGTAAAAATTATTATCGTGGTATCTTTGATTTTAGAAGGAACAAGGTCTCTGTCAGTCGTCAATTAAAAATATGTTTGTAAAATAATAGTACTCCAGCACAGATTTATAGTGTATTTCGTTTCAAATATGTAATTCTCAGGGCTAAAATCCTGTTCACAGAATCAGACATGCAGCTCAGCACAGAAAAAAACAACAGCACAGAATAGCGAATTATTCCAGCACTTTACGTTTGTCGATTAGTGATGCAAAACTCGTTTCTTGATTAAGTGCGCCAAAATAGGCAATAAAATGAACACTCACTAGGTGGGAATGTTTACACACCAACGAAGAATTGTGGAACATTATCACTGTTGCATTTTATCTTCCTTCACGGAGTGAATGAAGGACAATTAGATAAAGCCTATCCGCCGTGTCTTGTACTTCTTTTCCGCCAACAGCAACCGTGCATCAACTGGCGCACTTCTCGATACAAAATATGTCAACATTTCAAACAAGAATAGTGAACTGAAAGCGAATGAGCGGCGGCGAAGTCACAGATCGCCAGAAATAACAAACAATGAAGTATGTCGACACTAGCCATCCTACAACACACCCCGTGTCGCAGGCGCGGTGACAGTCTTGCTCTCTACTGATCGATCGATATCAAGCAGTTACCCCCCACACAAATCGAATCCACACAAAGAAGGAAGCTACACTGTCCCTCGTGTGTGATTAAAACGAAACAGCCCAAGTGGTCCCTGAATCACAACATCCCACCCAACTGACTGAAGTCGTCAGGTTATTTAAACGATCTTGTGGCCACGACTCAAAAGAATTTACGAGAGGCGCGAATCAAGAGACCAGGCATGCGAAGCCCCACAATGAAAGATTTTCCTTTCCCCGTTGAGCATGCCTTATCTCTGTACAACGAGACTGGCCGTGACACGGAGGTTTCTGCTGCTGTTTGCAAAGTAACCGAAGTAGGCCATTTGCTACTTCTAGTAGCTCGCTTTATTGGAGGAGAAAATAGCATATTGTAGTAAGCTTGGCTTTGTGAGAGGGCATTGATTTTATTGTGAAAAGTAGTTATTCACAATTAAATCAATGCCCTCTCACAAAGCCAAGCTTACTACAATATGCTATTTTCTCCTCCAATTTTCTCCTCCAGCAACTGTTCAGTATCGCTGGTGCACGAGTGATATCTGTTGTTTGTACACGCAGATGTTATTTCTGGTCGTCTGCTAGATACCGACAGGGCGGGTGTGAAGGAAAGTCACCAGTGTTGCCACTTTTCTTTGACAAAAAAATATCCAAAACGGAGTCAAAAAATATCCTAAAACATCTAAATATGCGTGGAAAACTTCTTTAAAAAACATCAAAATGGAAAGTCACGACAGTAAAAGCACTGTGTTACTAGACTCATGTTTTTACCTCATTTCATATTTGGTCGATCCATCCATCCATCTACCATTCCATGCATCCACAAATACAGTCATCCATCATTCCATCCATTCATCTACTCACCCATCTATCCAGGACACACTCACCGATTCACTCCACCATCCACACATGCTGTTTTCCCATCTATCCCTTCACCGCTCCTTTAATTCTGGTTGTTACCAGTTTTACTCTCGGGCTCGACTGATTACTTTGTATAACAAGCATCCTTACTGTCTCTATTTGATAGCTGACAGTAAGAGAGAAGCATCTTATCATGAGACCCCTGTTTTTACCCGATTCTATATATTAGCAATTCCATTCATCCACTAATATAGTCATCCTTTACCCATCCACTAATATAGCCATCCTTTACCCATCCACTCATCTACCCACCCATCTATCTCACCTCCCACTCGCCCGCTCACATCACCATCCACCCTAGCTATATTTCCTATGTAGTCACTTCATAGTTAGAGCATATTTGTATATGTGTACTGTGTTGTCCTTTATGTGCTGATGAAGGCTAATCAACGCAACGTCCTTTGTTTGTTTATTGTGATCGATTTTGTAAAGCTAACATGAACTATTTGTTGTTTCTTACCAACTTTTTCTCTTCCCTATAATTTTCTACTCCTTTTAAAAAAATAGCAATTGATATGACTTACCCTATAGAATCATGTCCTCATCTTTACTGAAGTCTGCCTTACAAGATCCACAGGATAAACTTAGCTTGGATGATGAAGTTGAACCTTCAAAATGACTCTGGTACACTTTAGCTGTTACAATTTCTTTTAATACCCAGTCAGGGAGCTGATAAGTGGAACAGCCTTTTCCTACTCTCATAAGGCATAATTTTATTGTCAAGATAGCATTTAAGAGGTCAAATTTATCCTGTTTCTAAGTTAGATTTGATAAATTCACTTTATCAAATGACTAACTTCTAGAAAAATATCTACCATCTAAACGTCAAAAACGCCATCTAAACGCATGGGGAAACATCTAAATATGGATGTTAAACATCCAAAGTGGCAACACTGGTCGTCTCACACTTCACAATACATGCCGATGCTGTCAACTGTGCCTTGACTGAACACCTGCTCCGCTGCATACAAGTCCGGAAGTTAACTTTGGGGACGAGGGAGAGGGTAGGTGCAATAAGTTATCTTTATTTGACAGAAAACTAATGATTAACTAACGTGGCTTTAGTGACAGAGTGAAACCATATCGCCACACAACCCCTTCCTGTAAGCTATGACAGTTTGACAATTGCACAATATTAATAACACGTTTACGTTATTATTGTGCAATTAAACAAGACAAGCCCTTTGAGTTCCACGCTAAACAATTATGGGGAAAAGTGGGGAGGGGGAGGGTATAGTAGTTTAATTTAAAAAAATAATTATCAATATGTGCTGAATGGCAAAGAAGAACAAAAGAAAATGAAATAATTTTTGTTTAAAGTACCCGCATAGGCTACCACGAGTTAACCCTTGAGCTCGCTACTATGGATACCGCAATCCTTCGGCCTTGATTCCATGATAGACTGTAAATCTGGGAGAAATGGGGCTTTTCTGCATATCCCCGGAGCGTGAACCCGGACCACAAGGAGTTCGTTTGTCGGTCGCCGCGAAGTTAGTTTTAACAAACCACGCTAAACAAATTCTTAAAAAATAACGTCTATATTTAGTAGGGACGAAGATCTCTGCTTCCTAAAAAAAGTGGGGGAGGGGGGGGGGGGGGGGGGGGGGGGGTCTGGTGACTGTTTAACAAGATCATAAAATTACAGTAACATTCATAGCTTTGTACCCGCCCAGTATCAGCGTAAACTATCCTAACGCCAACAGCCTTTCATCGTTACCTTAACACCCTCTGACCAGGACACTCCAAAGATCCTCTGTGATGGCCCTAGAGTGGTCTTCAAGCGATACCGTAACTATGTAACTATGATGCTGAAACTTAGGCTATCAAGATAGCAACAGAGAAACTGCTAAATACCAATCTTGGCTCACAGTATGTGGTAATGCTGACAGATGCTAAATCAGTACTTGAAGCACTCCAGTCTAGGAAACTACCAGAATTGCAAACACTACTGACACAACTTAAACTTCAGCGAAGAGTTGTAATGCAGTGGATACCTTCTCATTGTGGAGTGCCTGGAAATGAGAAAGCTGATCAACTGGCAGGAGAAGGTGCAACAAAAGTGCAGCCGGATGTACCAGTCACATACCACCAAAAGAAAAGAATCATTAAATCGATCAGGAAACCACCAGCCCCAGCACAAGACGACTATTTTATTATGGACAGACCAGAACAAGTCATTATCCTCCGCCTCAGAACAGGGCACAACCGATTACGTAACCACGTGTACACAAATTCAAGATAGGCGTATCAGCCATGTGCACCTGTGGAAATGTGCCCCAGAGAGCAGAGCATGTACTCCAGGACTGCACCAAATTTGACACATTAAGGCAAACCTTTTGGCCAGAAAGAACAACAGTGGAACGTAAACTCTATGGACCACTGAATGAACTAACAACGACAGTGACATTTATACAAGAAACAAAATTGCTGATATAGACAACTTATTTCTGTCTAATCTATCTAATCTATCTATCTATCTATCTATCTATCTATCTATCTATCTATCTATCTATCTATCTATCTATCTATCTATCTATCTATCTATCTATCTATCTATCTATCTATCTATCTATCTATCTATCTATCTATCTATCTATCTATCTATCTATCTATCTATCTATCTATCTATCTATCTATCTGTCTGTCTGTCTGTCTGTCTGTCTGTCTGTCTGTCTGTCTGTCTGTCTGTCTGTCTGTCTGTCTGTCTGTCTGTCTGTCTGTCTGTCTGTCTGTCTGTCTGTCTGTCTGTCTGTCTGTCTGTCTGTCTGTCTGTCTGTCTGTCTGTCTGTCTGTCTGTCTGTCTGTCTGTCTGTCTGTCTGTCTATCTAAAGAATCTGTGTTGGTGACCATCGAATATATTTAAGATTTCTTCTAAATGTAGCTCTGCAGTCAAGTCGTGTCTGTCTAAATAGACAGCAACCATATCCACGATTAAACAAACAGTAAAGGCCCAACTGGCACAATGGGCGATCAGAGAACGGGTTCTATCTAAAGGAAGTCATGGGCCATTCTCCTTGATACACAGAGCTAATTGCTTTTTCTCATGCCGGGTTGGCGTGCCCGGTCGGCATTATTCTTCGTCCCTGATTAAACTGTCTTCATTTACATGATCCCGGTTTCTAGCAAAACAGTAAAGAGGAGGTACAAAATTACAAATGTCAGCAAACGGAAGCCATGATAGAATCTGTCAGTAGCACGCAGGCTTGAGTGAGATTGGGGTGCGTATATTTATGATTCACCAGCACATAGAAGCAAAACTGATCAAATACAGAGGTTCTGAAGCGACTAGAAATCTTCATCTTGGTGTTCACCAGTGAGAATTTCCAGCCGAAAGTCCTAATGTCCTTGATCTTCTTGACTTGGGTCT